CATGATAAAATAGACTTTAAAGCAAATTCCACCATAAAGGATAAGGAAGGATACTATATAATGATGAAAGGGTCAATACACCAGGAGGACATAACCATAATATATATGCACCCAATGACAGGGTCTCAAAATATATAAAACAAACTCTAACGGCATTGAAAAGAGAACTAGTTCCACAATAACAGCAGAAATCTACAACACACCACTTTTGGTGAAGGACAGAACATCTAGAAAGAAATTCGATAAACATACAGAAGATCTAAATGCCACAATCAACTAACTCAACCTCATAGACATATACAAAACATTCCACCCAACATCAGCAAAGTATATATATTCTTTTCCAATGCACATGAAACATCCTCTGGAATAGACCTAATCTTAGGCCACAAAGCAAACCTTAACAAAATTGAAAACATTGAAATAATACAAAGCATATTCTCTGATCATAATGTCATAAAAGTAGAAATCAATAACAGAAACAGCAAGGAAAAAAAATCAAATACATGAAAATTGAACAACAACTTTCTTAAGAACTACTGAGTAACACAGAAGAAATCAAGGATGGAATAAAAATTAATAGACTCACATGAGAATGAAAACACATCATACCAAAACCTTTGGGACACAGCAAAGGCAGTACTCAGAGGTCAATTTATAGCAATAAACCCACACAGCAAAAAAGAAAAAAGGGCCAAAATCAAAACATTAACCCTGCAACTCGAACAAATAGAGAACAGCAAAAGCAGCCCTCAGGTACCAGAAGAAATGAAATAATAAAGATTAGAGCAGAAATAAATGAAATAGAGAATAGAAAAACAATTGAAAGAATCGACAAGACCAAAAGTTGGTTTTTTGAAAAGATCAAAAAAATTGACAAACCATTGGCCAAACTGACAAAAGAAAAACAGGGCAGGAAGCAAATAACACTAATAAGAAATGAGATGGGTGACATCTGACTGAAATAAAAAGGATCACAATAGAATACTATAAAAAATTGTACTCCAACAAATTTGAAAACCTAGAGGAGATGGACAAATTTCTAGGAACACGTTACCTACCTAAACTAACCCAACCTGAGGTAGAAAAACTAAACAGACCCATAACAAAGAAGAGATTGAAGAGGTAGTAAGAAAACTCCCAACAACAACAACAACAACAACAAAACCCTGGCCTGGATGCCTTCACTGGAGAATTCTACCAAAAATTCAGAGAAGAGCTAACACCAATACTAATAAAGTTATTTCAGACCACAGAAAAGGAAGGAATACTCCCAAACTCATTCTGTGAAGCAAGCATAACCCGGACTTCAAAGCCAGGTAAAGACACCGCAACGAAGGAAGACTACAGACCAGTATGCCTCATGAACATAAACACAAAAATTCTAAACAAGATTCGAGTCAATAGAATTCAACAGCATATCAAAAAATTAATACATCATGACTAAGTGGGATTCATACCAGGTATGCAGGGATGGTTCAACATTAGAAAATTGATCAATGTAATCCACCACATAAATAAAAGAAACGAACCACATGATCTTATCAATCAACGCAGAGAAGACATTTGAAAAAGTCCAACACCTATTCCTGATAAAAACTCTCAGCAAAATAGGAATAGAAGGAAAATTCTTTGAGTTAATAAAGAGCATTTATACAAAGCCAACAGTCAACATCATTCTAAATGGAAAGAGACTGAAAGCATTCCCCTTGAGAACAGGAACCAGACAAGGATGCCCTTTATCACCACTATTATGCAACATTGTGCTGGAAGTCCTAGCTAGGGCAATAGGCAATGAAAAGAAATAAAGGGCCTTCAAATTGGTAAGGAAGAGATAAAACTATCCCTATTCGCAGACAATATGATCTTATACACAGAAAACCCCAAAGCATCCACAAGAATGCTACCGGAACTAATAGAAGATTTCAGCAGGACAGAAGATTAACAGAAAAATCAGTTAGATTCCTCTACACAAACAAAGAGAACTTCAAAAAGGAAATCACCAAATCAATATCATTTATAATAGCCCCCAAGAAGATACAGTACTTAGGAATAAATCTAACTAGGGACACAAAAGACCTATACAAAGAAAACTACAGTATGCTACTGTAGGAAACAAAATAAGACCTACATGAATGACAAAACATACCATGCTCATGGATAGGAAGACTCAACATTGTGAAAACGTCAACTCTACCCAAAGCAATCTACAGATACAACGCAATCCTGATCCAAATTCCAACAGCATTCATTCTTTAACGAGATGAGAAACAACTGACTTTATAAGGAAAAGGAAGAGGCCCCGGATAAGTAAAGCATTACTGAAGAAGAAAACAAAGTGGGAGGCCTCACACTACCTGATCTCAGAACCTATTATTCAGCCAAGGTAGTCAAAACAGGCTGGTAGTGGTACAACAACAGACACATAGACCAATGGAACAGAAAAGAGAACCCAGACATAAATCCATCCATCTCTGAGCAGCTGATATTTGACAAAGGTCCAAAGTCTGTTAAATGGGGAAAAGACAGTCTCTTTAATAAATGGTGTTGGTGTAAGTGGATGTCCATCCATTAAAAAATGAAACAAGACCCATACCTGATGCCATATACAAAAACTAACTCAAAATGGATCAAAGACCTAAATATAAAATCTAAAACTATACAGATCACAGAAAAAAAAAAATAGGGAAAATGCTAGGGGCCCTAACATATAGCATAAATAGGATATAAACCATAACTAACAATTCACAAGCACCAGAAGAGAAACTACATAATGGGGAGCTCCTAAAAATCAAACACTTATGCTCATTGCAACACTTCACTAAAAGAGTAAAAAGACAACCTACAGACTGAGAAAAAGAAAATTTGGTTATGACATATCTGACAAGGGTCTAATCTCTAAAATCTACAAGGTACTGCAACAACTCAACAACAAAAAGACAAATAATCCAATTAAGAAATGGGCAAAGGACATGAACATACACTTCACCAAAGAAGACATTCAGGTGGCTAACAGACATGTGAGGAAATGCTCATGATCATTAGCCACTAGAGAAATGCAAATCAAAACTACATTGAGATACCATCTCACCCTGACAACACTGGTACTAATCCAAAAAACACGAAATAACAAATGTTGGAGAGGTTGTGGGGAGACTGGACCTCTTATGCACTGCTGGTAGGAATGTAAAATGGTATGACCACTTTGGAAATCAATTTGGCACTTTCCTAAAAAGCTAGAAATAGAAATACCATATGATTCAGCAACCTCACTCCTAGGAATATATCCTAGGGGAATAAGAGCCATCACAGGAATCGACGTATGCACACGCATGTTCATTGCAGCATTGTTCACTATAGCAGAAAGATGGAAAAAACCTAAGTGCTCATCAACAGACGAACGGATAAACAAACTATGATACGTATATTCAGTAGATTACTATGCAATGATAAAGAACAATGATGAATCTGTGAAACATCTCACAACATGGATGAATCTGGAGGGCATTATGCTGAGTGAAATAAGTCAGTCACAAAAGGAAAAATATTGTATGAGACCACTATTATAAGAACTCAAGAAAAGGTTTACACACAGAAAAAAGCAGTCTTTGATGGTTACAAGGGTGGGAAGGGAGGGGGAGGGGAAATCACTAATAGTAGACAAGTGTCAACTTAGGTGAACGGAAGGACAACACACAATATAAGGGAAGTCTGCACAACTGGACCAAAGCAAAAGCACAGAAGTTTCCTAGACACATCCAAACACTTTGAGGGACCAAGTAGCTGGATGTGGGCTGGGGACCATAGTCTTGGGGGACATCTAGGCCAATTGGATAACATAGTTCATAAATAGAATGGTCTACCTCCCACTTTGGTGAGTAGAGCCTGAGGTCTTAAAAGTTTGCGACTGACTATCGAAGATACATCTATTGGTCTATTCCATCCGGAGCAAAGGAGAATGAAGAAAATCAAAGACACAAGGAAAATATTAGCCCAAAGGACTAAAGGACCACATGAACCAGAGACTCCATCAGCCTGAGAACTAGATGGTGCCTGGCTACTCCCAATGACCGCTCTGACAGGGATCACAACAGAGAGTCCCAGAAAGAGCGGGAGAAAAATGTAGAACAGAATTTTAATTCACGAAAAAAGACCAGACTTACTGGTCTGACAGAGACTGGAGGAACCCCAAAAAATATGGCCCCCGGACACTCTGCTAACTCAAAACGGAAACAACTCCCAGAGGCCACTTTTCAGACAAAGATTAGACAGGCCTATGAAACAAAAAATAACACACGCAAGGAACGAGCTTCTTAGCTTAATCAAGTATACGAGACCAAAGGGGCAACTCCTGTCCAAAAGCAAGACAAGAAGGCAGGAAGGGACAGCAACTGGACGAATGGGCACAGGGAACCCGGGGTGGAAAGAGGGAGTGCATTGTCACATTATGGGGATTGCAACCAATGTCACAAAACAATATGTGTATAAATTTTTTAATGAGAAATTAACTTGAGCTGTAAATTTTCACCTAAAGCACAATTTAAAAAAAGCAAGAAAAAGAACTCTAAGCTATGCCTGGAGTATAATCATAAGAGATTCAGTTGGTGCCCAGAACATCAGAACCCAAGAAGGGAGCAGCTCTCCTGCTCATCTTCTAGAACCAGTTCAGTGTCCCGAGGAGAGTGGGCCCAAGCCACGGGAGGTCCAGAGCAGATTCTCCCAGGCGGTTCTTCCTCTGGTCAGAGCCCACATGCAGTGGCTACTTCTCAGCTGCTGTGTGTTACTCCACCTGTGGTGAGACCAACTGGACTTCCAGAAGGGCAGGGAGGGGGGCCATATGCCAGCTTCCAGGCACCTGCTGGCACAGTTTCCTATGAAACTTCTCCCCAGATGCTTTGTATTTCAGGAGTCAGATCCTTAGCTGATATTTTTTAAACAAGGCCTGACCATAGAAAATGGCAAAAGGGCCACTGTGCTAATCTAAAGACACGGGCACTTACACTGAGATGGTCTGACGTCAAGGACAGAAGGTCTTCATTGCAAGGGTGAAGTTTTTCAAACAGAATAGTATCTGCTCCTTTGGAATAAAGCTTTATCTGCCCTTCCGGGTTTCGAACTAAAAAGAAAAAAATTTGGAAAATTATATCGTCATCAATGAAATCTGTCAAAGCTGGACTCTTCCAGGGCTCCAGGTGGGCCATTTGGAAAGGGGCAGAATGTTTTAGCCACTAGTAAAACATTCTGTGCTTTTAGAAGGTCACAACCTCACTCCCTTGGCTTTATTCCTATTTTATTAACTTAGAAATATCCCATCTACTGGAATCCTTTGATTTTCCAAACAAGTGTTTTCAGTCTGATGCATAAGACCTTCCTATTTCCCTTACCTACTGTTTTTGAAGGGTTGATACATTCAAACTAGGCCCTCTGTATTGAGCTGAATTGAGAGCTTTCTTTGCCTGTCTCCTGGGATGAAATTCAAGACCTACTCTTCTAATCAGCTATTAGTGTTATTCCAAATCATCTCCATATGGAATCCTAAGCATTCAGAGCCATGGTTTAGGCCTTAGTCCTCTGCCCTTGCTCCCTTTACTTTTTGGAAAGGCCCATTCATTCTTGGTGGTTCATTCTTTGGTCACAATTGGGGCTGCAAGCAAGCTTCACACAGGGGGCTGCTAAAAAAATAAAGCATCCACCTTCTTCCCACTGGAAGCTCAGATTAGTAGTGTTTTTAACTTGACCTCCAGGTTTGGGAATGACAGTTCCTCTCACCTCATATTGCTGTCAGACAAATCTTTCTTAAAAACCACAGGATACTCAAGGGGTCCCTGAGTGATGCAAATGGTTAAGCTCTCGGCTGCTAACCGAAAGGCTGGCAGTTCAAATCCTCCCAAAGATGCCTCAGAAGAAAGGCCTGGCAATCTACTTTTGAAAGGTCACAGCCACTGGGTACGGGGTGGGGGCGGGGGGAGGCGAACATAGGTTTCTTGGCTTAGCTTTGTAAGTTTGAGTTTACATCCTGGCACATAGTATGCATTTAATAACTACTGAATGAGTGAACTACATAGGAGTGTATTTCTTCCCAGGAACTGCTTAAAATAAAAGACAGCTACCTGGGTCACAACTTCATGATCTGTGACTCTCACAGGCTTCATCAACTGAGTCAAAGATCATTACATGATTTCCACTCATTTATGCCTTTGCTCTAAAAATAGAATGCCTCAAAACAGATGAACATAAATATTTGCTACTATTAATTTAATGGGACACACAACTTAGAGCTTGATTTAAAGTAATATAAATAACAAAGTACAATAAGTTACTTTCCCGTCTAACCTTTAACTACCCTTAATATCAAAAACCCATTGCCATCAAGTTGATTCCGACTTATAGCAACCCTTTTAGTCAACACTTAACTTATACTAGTTTCTTCCTGGCTTGGCGAGATCTAACGTACCCTGGAAACTTATTAATGTTAAGACTTGTCTAGCGCTTGTGTTCTGTTCCAAGATCCTTGGTTGGCTTTCCTAGTGCCAGAACTCATGTAGTTTTTCTTCTATTCTGGCTCTAATTGCTAACATTTGGAAAGAAAGAGAGAAAAAAACATAGGCAAACCTTTACCTAATTGCCCAAACGGAGAAAAAAATTGATCCTAGAAAAGGCCTTCTACTGGTTTTCTTCAACGACCTAATAATTTCCCCATATTTTCTCTCTTCCATCACCAGAACTATAAAGGTGAGTATGTGCAGTCGACAATTGCCAGGGTGCTTTCTCTATGACTGCTGTTTATAGTCTTGGCTAGGACATTAGCTCTCTAATATTTTGGTCTCAGCACCTCTTTGCACCTTAAAAATTAGTTAGCACCCCACAGAGCTTTCTTTGTGGGTTATATCTATCAATATATACCATATTAGAAATTAAAACTGAGAGATTTTATTATATCAACAGTATTATAATGTTAATAACAGTAATGAGCCTATTATTTGTTAATATAAATACCATTTTTATGAAAAATACCTATCTTTTCTGAAACAAAAAAATTTAGTGAGAAAGTGACATTTTTTACATGATTACTAATTTCTTTAATGTCTGTCTTAAGAGAAGACGGTGTCTCAAATCTGCTTCTGTACGTAGTCTTTTGTGATACCACATGTCATGTGACCTCTGCAGTACCCCAATATACAATCATGAGAGAATGAGGGTGAAAAAGACAAACAACATCTTGATACTATTATAAAAACAGTTTTGTCATTGTAGATCCCCTGAAAATTCCTCAAATTCCCCCAGTGGTCCTGGGACTGCACACTGAGAACTGCTACTCTAGGGAAATCATGAACTGGTTGTGATTTGTGCAAGCCCTCACCATCTCTGTGTCCCGGTTTATGCATGTGAAAAGAAGATGTTTCAACAATCTAACTTCTAAGATCCTTTTCAGCTCTACAATTTTCTGATCCAATAAAAATTTTCCGTCCTTAATGCCCTCTCTTAACTCAGCATTAGCCCCTTTAAATTTGAGTTTGTATGAATCCAATTTTATGGAATCCTGCTTGAGTTTACTCACTAAACATTTCTTTGAGCAGTTCAGCAAGTTTTATGTCTCTTTTCCATCCAAGACTTCTGGTAATTTCTGTTAGGAAGCCTCAGAGTTAATAAAATCACAGCCATTTCAGAAGTTAGCCTTTTTAAAAGGCATTAAATCAAAACATAACAGTTTTTAAACCAGAAATATGAAAGTGATCTTCCAATAGCCAAGGTAACATATGGCCAGAATGTAGACAAAGGTCATGGTTTTTTGGGTTATAGAATCTTATCCCATTGCTTGTCCTTTAAATATTGATGTTCTTCAAGGATTTACCCTGGTCCTACTTCTCCTTCTATCCCTCACATTCTCCCTGGGCAATCATGTTCGTTTCTATGGCTTCAGGTACTATCTACAGGCTAACTTCTCCCAAATGTATATGTCCTGCCCAGTTCCAGCTCCTTCTGACCTGTACATCCAGCTACCAATTGGACATCTCCCCTTGAGTGTGCCCAAGACACATCAAATTCAAAACAGACTAATCACCTCCTTCAATTATCTAGCTACTCCTCCTATGTCCCCAGTCTTAGTAACCAGCTTCACCATCCACTTCATCTTCCAAATCTGAAATCAGGCATCACTCACAGTTCCTCCTCCTCCACCACCCATACACCCAATCAAAGCCATGCACTTCTCTCTTGCCTAAGTTATTACATTAACCTGACTTGTTTTACTGGTCCTAGTCCTGCTTCCCTCCAAACTGTTCTTTATATTCTAGCCAGGGTCATCTTCACACTGATGCTTAGAATTCTGCAATAGCTTCTCTCTTCCCTTAGGATCAAGCTTGGACTCCTTAACATGTCATATACAGAGTGCATCAAGATCTGACCAGTCTATTTCCTATCTCCTTTCACTGTCTACTGCTGGATGCAGCCACATAGAATATCTTTCAGTTTTTCAAGTGTACCACTTTCTACCTGAGCTTCAATTTCTTGGAACATAGTAGACATTTAAATATTTGCCTAATTGAATTGAACTATAATTGTGCAAAAATCATTGAAAGCAATACCTTTGCAATGTAAAGGAAAAATTAAAAGTCACAAATGGCTTCCGGGCTTATAGTGTAAGAAATAGATGCAATAGCAGCGCTATGAAGGCTGATGAATAATTCTACTTTGCCACATCTCAATTGGGTTGCTGCTCCTACACCCACACAGAAAAAAATGCTTGTTACATACCAGTGTGATCTGTACTTTGATAATCTTTAAAAAGCTTAGACTTGAGCAACCCTTATCCAAAGATCTTGTAAAGGCTTTTCAAGGGGCATTTGTAACTTATTCTCTGTAATGATTATCTTCCATTTCCCCCTATTAATAATTCTCCTTGAATTTTATCCTCTGTATTTTTATCTACAGAAATAATGACCCCCACCTGCAGAATCAGTCCTTCCAAAACTATATAATGAAATCTATATGTTTACCAATATGGTATATTCTATTCCTCTGAGAAAATTCTTTATAGAAATCTGTTTTTATTTAGATACCTCTGACTTAAATCAGGGAGTGGAAAATATGGTATGAGTGTCAGAGGGCAATATACCATCAACAAGGAAAATGACAGAACTCTAGCTCAAATAGGAGTTCCTGGGTGGTGCAAACAGTTAATTCACTCAGCTGCTAACTGAAAAGTTGGAGGTTCAAGTCCATCCAAAGTTATCTCAGAATAAAGGCTTGGTGATCTACTTCTGAAAAATCAGGCATTGAAAATCTGATGGAGTAGAGTTCTACTATGACACACATGGGGTCACCATGAGTCAGAATCAGCTTGACAGCAACTGATCTTTTCTAGCTTAAATACAAAATAAAATTGGCTATGAGTTACTATTTTGGATGTTGAAGACAAATCTCTTGCCCAAGAATAAAAGTACTACTGTATTGAAACTATACATCACTGATTCATAATATAAATTTATGATTTATGTTCATAACATAAATATAAATTTATGTTTATATAACAAAAAAAAAAAAAACAAAGAAAGGAAAGAATGTGACTTAAAGCAAATGTTTGAGCCTTCACTTCAAGGTGCTGTCTTTACAGACTAAGCCATGTGACAGTCATGAGACTGGGATTATTTCTTGTCTTGTTTATCACACTGTAGACTTTTCTACACTAGTGGAGTCCCTCCTTTAGATTCCTCCTGACTGAAAACCAAACAGAACCAAAACAAAGCTCTTGAGTCTCCACGAATGCTGAGGTGAACTGTTACTTCTCTTCATATGGGATCCATTAAGGCAAACTTCTGATGTTTATGGTTGGGCTGCCATTTCTCCACAGCCTGTAATGGTGATCAACTCTGGACAAAATCCAAAAGTCTCCCAGTGTAGCAATCCTAGGTTTTTGTCAATGCTCTCAGAGCAGCATCAATAACACCTCCCCTGAGGCTGTAAATAGAATATACCTATTGCCGTCGAGTCAATTCCAACTCATAGCGACCTTATAGGACAGAGTAGAACTGCCCCATAGAGTTTCCAAGGAGCAATTGGTGGATTTGAACTGCCGACCTTTTGGTTAACAGCCGAACTCTTAACCACTGAGCCACCAAGGCTCCTGCTAATACAAAATTAGGCCAACAAGGAAATCAAGCGTGCTCTTCAGCAACATTAATGATGACTGTCTACTGCCAGTGGTCAAAAAAATACAAATGAACATCCATCTCAGGTTTTTATTTGCTGAGAGCAGTCTCTCAGGGCTCGTTTCCAGTGGTGGGAAACCAAAACCCCCACCATTACGTATATACACATTAGCCACTGTAGAAACTGATGAAATATGATGATCAGGATATTCATAAGTTGGAAAGTACTGGGTTTAATTTCATTTAACAAACATTTATAGAAAACCTACTGTGTGCCAAGCAAACTCTGTTCTTGGTCCTGGACAGTATAAGAAGAATATGACACTAAGTCTAAAAGTAAGTTTGTGGACTGTTGAAGGAGAAATCAAAGGTACATGCAAGTAGGAGAGGAGCAATGCCATGAGGAAGGGAATAGAGAATGGGATCAGGTAGAATCTTTAACTTTAAAAAGAAATAAAAGCAATTTTTCTCTGAGGCAGGAGGAAGAATGAGTGAAGATAAAGCTTGAGAATGAAGGCAGTGGAGAGAAAGAGAATAAGTCAATGGTGTGCATTCCTGAAGGTCTTAGAGAAAGGAGACAAGTTTATCTTCCAAAAATAAAGGAGATCATGGCAGGGTTGAGGGCTTGGGAAAAGGGCAAACGTTTGGGACACCTGTGCAGGGAATGGGAAAAGGAGCTAAATAAGAATGAGAAAGACATTGAAGCAGCACTGAGGGTTCAGCTGAGTTAGAAAAGCACCATTTGTAGTGGCGCTAAGTAAAAGATTAGGTAATCATCAACAGCGATGAGTAGAGAAAATGAGGATGAAAATTAGGAGGCTGATGGTGATGATAACAATATTAACAACAACTAGCATGTGCCACAAATCAGAAACTCATCCTGAGCATAGCAACTAAGGAAACAGGCTCTGCAGCCAAACTCCCTGGGTTTGAATTCCACCTATTCCACTTGAAGCTCTGTGACCTAGGGCGAGTTACTCAACCTCTCTGTGTGCCAGTTTCATTATATGTCAAATGGATATAAAACAATAGTGTCTACCTTATAGAGTTACTACAGTTAAACCAGTTAACTCATGTAGAGCACCTAGAACAGTGCTGGGCAAACAACAAGCACTGGTTAAATGTTAGGTATACTTATTACTAGAGTATTGAGGCTGCATTGACGATTACAGGAGTCCATAAAGTTATAAAAATATCACAACTCTCAGCACAGGGACAAGAGCAAAATAATCCTTGAAAAGCATCAATATCATCATAATACAACCAACAGATCAAAAATAATCTCAGCTATCAACTGTACCTATGACAGACATCCTTTTTCTGATATTGTTGAAATCCAAAAAGGCAAGCAATTGGTAAGTAACTAGTGTTCCCAGTTCTTCTATTGTTATAGTCTCTGGGGTTCGAGACTTAAAAATGAATCCAAAATTTCTTGCAGCAGTCACTAGAGCGCCTTCATCAGGTGATTGAACTTGGTAAATCAGCTCACCTAAAAGGAAAAGAAACAAGTGTATTGATACTGAAAATAATAATTTAAATCCATAGAATGCCGTCTCCGACTTGTTCTTCAACACTCGAGTGTCAACTCTAGAAATCTTTCATATCCTCAGTCCTTTCCTACTTGCCAACCAGCTAGATCAGGTGCCCCTCCTCTGGGATTCCACAGGATGCCAGGCATACCACCATCGTAACCTTCTCATCTTACATGGAAGAGCTCATTTCTGAATTTGCCTCTCCACTATGCTGAAAGTGTCTTAGGTCAGAGACCATACATACTTTTGTATTTTCAGTGATGAGAGACGTACCATGAAAGAGGCACAGCTAAAACATTTTAATACATATTAACTCGTATAAACCTCATGGCAAGCCTTTGAGGTAGAAATTATTAAAATTTTGATTTCCATTTTATATCAGTGGAACCTGCAATTGAGAGATGTTATGTGATTTTTGCCAGATCACACAGACAAAGGATGACGGAGCAGATACTCTGAATTCCACGTCAGTCTTCTACCAATGACCATTTTTATGAGAAGGCACACAAGACATTTCTTGGAGTAGAGGGAATCCAACCAGGGTGTTAGTACTTGTTATCTGGTACTGTGTTTGTGTTGGGGTTGGAGGAAGGAAGGGAGGAGAGAAAACAAATGGAGCAAGCAAAAAGAAATAAAAATACACTTTAAAAAACAGCATGTATAAAATATGCCCTTTTATATAAAATCATATCATGTTTGTATGTAAAAGTAATTTAGAAAAAAATAGGTAGAGCTAGATCTATATTAACTGATTCATATATATGTTCAAGTTACATTGTTAAGAAAGTAGTTCTTGATGTATACTAATGTATACAGTATTCTATAATTCTTTTTTGTTATAAACAAATAAATCACAGTCAACCACAAATTATCAAACAACAGAACAACATGAATGCAGACATAGAACTCAACAAACAGAAGAATACTTGACATGGAACATAATAGAGAAAACAAAACTTCAAATTAAGTATAATTAATGCCCTCAAAGAGATCTAAGTGAATATTAAAACATTAAAATAAAAACAAGTTGCTATAAAAATAAAACAGAGTTTTAGAAATGAAACTCACAAGCAGAGATAAAAGAAACTTACTTTAAAGGCATTGTGATATCCCCAGATAAAAACATAATGAATCATTATATTTTTGTATAATTATATTTTAATTATAGAAATACAATTAATCATTGGCATTATTATTATAAGATCAGTTAAAGTCATAAAAATAATCATATGAGTCCTCATGCAAGGATTAAATCATGTCAATCCTCAGTGATTAAAATCTGAGGAATGGGTGAATCCAGCATGATCCAGGAAAAAAATTCATGGCTTGAATGCAGTCCCAACAACAACAACAATAGCAACAACAATAAAATGTGTACACATACACATATATACATACACACATATGTACACATATACAAGCATATGTGTGTGTATACATATATACAGTCCATATGTAATATATTTCACTTTCCAGTTGAAATTACTTGGGTAGTAATTTCAGCTCAAAAGTTGATAGCAGAAAAAATAAAACTTGTATATGGAACAGATTGGGCTCACGTGGAGCAAGAAGCAGATTCCCCATACCATTATCTATCTGCCTTACAACTTCAATACTAAAGTGGTCCAGATGGTTTTATTCTATTCTATGAACCCTGAGTTCCAAACGACCGTCTTATAAGTGTGACAACTTGTTCATAGGAGGGTCTAAATAAGAGTATGGTACTATCAGTGTGGAAGGAGCTCTAGTGGTGCAGTGGTTAAGCACTCGGCTGCTAACCAAAAGGTCGGCAGTTGGAACCCACCACCTGCTCCACAGGAGAAAGATGTGGCAGTCTAATTCCATAAAAGATTTACAGCCTTGGAAACCCTGTGGAGCAGTTCTACTCTGTCCTACAGGGTCGCTGTGAGTCGGAATCGACTTGACGGCAGTAGGTTGGGTTTTTTTTTTGTTGTTTAATATCAGTGTAAATCTATCCCCATTACTGGGAAAATTCATTCTAAGCATATACCTGATGGCCATCTGCATCAATTATATGTATATGATAATAATGGGAGTTATGTGATTCAACTCTTATTTCCCTATTTGTCCTGGCTACCAGGAAGTTCACAGTCAAATGTGATAATCATAAGAAATATTTCATCTGCTTAGATGAGCATATTTGGATCCACGCCTTTCATTGATTCTATTTCTTTTCTTTTTTGTGGTTTAAGTGTCTCCATATTTTTTGGAAAACATTCAGGATATAAATAAATATAAAGATAAGCTACTGACAGGTTACCCTCTTATGCAGTTTTCTACCATGAATAGCAAAATCCTCCAAACCCTCAACATTTTTGATAAAAAACATCAGTTCTGATTTGTAAAACAAAAATAAGTCTCACCACTGTAGTCACACTTTTCATCCACTTACCTGCACTATTTTCCTCTGACATTACGGTGTGGCAGAGAGCAAGTAACCTAAGGAATTCATGCACTTTGGGATCACCCAGTTTAATGGATTCAACCAGACTATGGTCAAAGAATTGAAATTTTTTATCTGCTTGGGGGTTGAATGAGAAATCCACAGGCTTTTTTTTCTGTAGGGGAACAACAATAACAAAACTATAGAGCTCATTCCAACAAAAATCTTTCAAATTTCAAAAAAACTTCTTCTAAATATTGTTAGCACTTGTATGATTTTTCACCCTAAAACGTCTGGAACTAAAATAGCTTTCTGTTTCATCATTACTGTTGAATATAATCTTCCCATTTCAGAATCATGCACCAAGCTGTGAATCTTTCAAAAGCATATGAGGAAGAAAATCTCTAGTGGCTGTATAGATTCTCAAATTTGTATTGCAACACCAATTACAAAAAAGCTCTGAAAACTGAGTTGCTGTTTTTTTTTCCACAAAATCTACTTGATGGCAGGATGGCTCAACATTAGAAAATCAATCAACGTAATACACCACATAAATAAAGGAAAGGAAAAAAATCACATGATCATCTCAATTGAGGCAGAAAAGGCATTCAACAAAGTCCAACACCCATTCCTGATAAAAGCTCCCAATAAAATAGGTATAGAAGGGAAATTCCTCAACATAATAAAAGGCATCTATACAAAACCAACAGCCAACATCATTCTTAATGGAGAAAGGCTGAAAACATTTCTCCTGAGAACAAGAACAAGACAAGGATGCCCTTTATCACCATTCCTATTTAACATTGTGTTGGAAGTCTTAGCTGGAGCAATAAGGCAAGAAAAAGAAACAAAGAGCATCCAAACTGGTAACTAAAAAGTAAAACTGTCCCTATTTGGGGATGATATGATACTGTACATAGAAAACACAAAAGACTCCACAAGAAAACTAATGAAACTAATAGAAAGATTTAGCAGAGTAGCAAGATACAAGATAAACATACAAAAATCAGTTGGATTCGTATACATCAATAAAGAGAACAAAGAAAAGGAAATCAGGAAAACAATACCACTTATAATAGCACCTAAAAAAATAAAATACTTAGGAATAAATCTAAGGATATAAAAGACCTATACAAAGAAAACTACAAAATACTACTAAAAGAAACCAAAAGAGATCTACATAAATGGAAACCATACCATGCTCATGGATAGGTAGACTCAGCACTGTGAAAATGACAATTCTACCCAAAACAATTTACAAATACAATGCAATCTTGATCCAAATACCAACAACATTCTTTAAAGAGATGGAAAAACTAATTATTAACTTTATATGGAAAGGGAAGAGGCCCCGGATAAGTAAAGCACTATTGAAGAAGAATAATAAAGTAGGAGGACATGCACTACCTTACCTCAGAACTTACTGTACAGCTATGGTAGTCAAATGAGCCTGGTACTGGCACAATAACAGATACATTAACCAACGGAACAGAATTGAGAACCCAGATGTAAATCTGTCCACCTATGGTCACCTTGATCTTCGACAAGGGCCCAAAGTCCATCAAATGGAGAACAGACAGTTTTTTAACAAATAGTGCTGGCAAAACTGGATGTCCATCTGCAAAAAAAAGAAACAGGACCCGTACCTCACACCATACATAAAAGCTAATTCAAAATGGATCAAAGACCTAAATATAAAACCAAAAACTATAAAAATCATAGAATTAAAAATAGGATCAACACTACAGGCCCTAATACACAGCATTAACAGGATCCAAACCATAACTAACAACACACAAACTCCAGAAGATAAGCTAGATAACTGAGATCTTCTAAAAATTAAACACTTATGCTCATCAAAAGACTTCACCAAAAGAGTAAAAAGAGAACCTACAGACTGGGAAAAAATTTTTGGCTATTACAGATCTGACAAAGTTCTAATCTCTAAAGTCTATGGGAAAATCTAACGCCTCTACAACAAAAAGACAAATAATCCAATTTAAAAATGGGCAAAGGAAATGAACAGATACTTCACCAAAGAAGACATTTAAGAAGTTAACAGATACATGCAGAAATTCCCTTATCACTAGCTGTTAGAGAAATGCAAATCAAACCCACAATAAGATACCATCTCAGCCTGGCATTCCTGGCACGAATCAAAAAAACAGAAAATAACAAATGTTGGAGAGGCTGTGGGGAGAATGGAACCCTTATGCACTGCTGGTGGGAATGCAAAATGGTACAATCATTTTGGAAAATGATATGGCACTTCCTTAGAAAGCTAGAAATAGAAATATGTTTTGATCCAGCAATCCCACTCCTAGGAATATATCCTAGAGGATTAAGAGCCATCACACGAGTAGACATATGCACACCCATGTTCATTCAGCATTGTTCACAATAGCAAAAAGATGGAAACAACCTAGGTGCCCATCAACAGATAAATGGATAAACAAACCACGGTACATACACACAATGGAGTACTACACAACGATAAAGAACAATGATGAATCTGTGAAGCATCTCACAACATGGATGAATCTGGAGGACATTATGCTGAGTGAAATAAGTCAATTACAGGACAAATACTATATGAGTCCACTACTATAAAAATCCATGAAAAGGTTTACACACAAGAAGAAATAATCTTTGATGATTATGAGGGCGGGGGGAGGGAATGGAAAAACACTAAATAGACAATAGGTAAGTGGTAACTTTGGTGAAAGATGAGACAGTACACAATACTGGGGAAGCCAGCACAACTTGTACTAGGCAAGGTCATGGAAGCTCCATAGACATATCCAAATTCTCTGAGGGACCAAATGCTGGGCTGAGGGTTGTGGGGACCATGGTCTCAGGGAACATCTAGCTCAATTGCCATAACACAGTTTATAAAGAAAATGTTCTGCATTCTACTTTGGTGAGTAGCGTCTGGGGTCTTAAAACCCTGTGAGTGGCCATCTATGATACTCCACTGGTCTCACCCCTTCGGGAGCAAGGGAGAATGAAGAAAACTAAAGACACAAAGGAAAGATTAGTCCAAAGGACAAATAGACCACAACTACCACAGCCTCCACCAGACTGAGTCCAGTACAGCTAGATGGTGCCCGGCTACCACCACTAACTGACTGCTCTGACAGGGATCACAATAGAGGGTCCTGGACAGAGCTGGAAAAAAATGTAGAACAAAATTCTAACTCACAAAAAAGACCAGAGTTACTGGCCTGACAGACACTGGGGAAACCCTGAGAGTATGGCCCCTGGACACACTTTTAGCTCAGTAATGAAGTCTCTCCTGAGGTTCACGCTTCATCCAAAGATTAGACTGGCCCATAAAACAAAACAAGACTAAAAGGGCACACCAGCCCAGGGGCAAGGACTAGAAGGCAGGAGAAGACAGGAAAGCTGGTAATCAGGAACCCAGGATCGAGAAGGAAAAGCATTGACATGTCATGGGGTTGTTAACCAATGTCATAAAACAATATGTGCACTAACTGTTTAATGAGAAGCTAGTTTGTTCTGTAAACCTTCATCTAAAGTACAATTTAAAAAAAAAAGGAAAAAAAAATCTACTTGATGGCAAAATCCTGACTTGAAGTGATTTTGGCAGCAAAACCTGATGTAGAATTGTATGAGTCTACTTACAGACTTTTTTTTAGCCTACTAGTGTGAATTAATGTGTTTCAAAGCAAAAATATTACTGTGTTTTATTACAGAGTGCTGTCTCATATTTTACTGGAGATATTACATAATATACAGCGGATTATACCATCTTGTGGTTTATTTTTTACCAACTACCTCAGATATTTGAAACACAAAATATGTGTCATTTAATTCTTATGAAAAGACAAAAAGTACTAAAAAGATTATTTTAATTATAACTCCAGTGCTGAGTACACGTATGTACAAAGTTTCAAGATATACCAACCATTCTTTGATTAATATACAATGCATTGCAGCACTTTGAAATAGGCAGTCTACATTTATTCATCAAATATTTATCATGCACCTACTGTGTGCTGAGCAGTGTTACAGATGCTGGGGATAGAGTAGTAAACAAAATGCCATCCTTGCTTAATGAAATTCAGTCTTATCAGGACAGAGACAAGTAAAGAGACAACTTCAACAGGATATGCTAACTGCTATGATGAGGCAAGCACACTCGACCAGGGAAAGAGAGCAAGTTGTCAAGAAAAGATTCCCAGAACTTGTAGCACCTAAGTTGAGGTGGAGGGGTGAGCAAGAGTGAGCCAGACAGAGAGGTGGGGCAAGATTGTTTCAGGCTGAGGGCACAACATTTGCAGAGACATGTGAGAGAACGTGAGTGTGGTCATTTGGAAAGACTTTAAGGAGTACAAGATGGATGAAGTATCTGGTGTGTGTGGCAAGAGATGAATCTGGAAAAAGAGGAGGGGCTCAAGTCCTCAATGGCTTTGTCTGCCAGAAGTCAAACTCTTCCAGAAGTTTGCTAGGGCTCCCTTTTCCACTTACCAATGACTTGTCTACTGCACTCTGAAAGCATCGCTGAAATTACAAAAGCAGGAATTTGGCGGCAGATCACTAATTGGTCAATAAATATTCATTGGACTTTTGATCTGCTAAGCATGGAATAAAGTCAGCATTTTCTCTTTGTCCTGCTAGAACTCACTCTCCAAAAAAAAAGAGAGAGAGATAGAAAGAATGCGAAACAAAAGGCAAACTCCATTTTCAGGGAAACTAGAAGAATCAAAAGCCACACTTCCTTCAATAAGATGGACTTGCCGCCAAAGAGGAGTCCTGGTGGCGCAGTGGTTAAGAGCTGGGCTGTTAACCAAAGGGTCAGTGGTTTGAACCCACCAGCCTCTCCAAGGGAGAAAGATGTGGCAGTCTGCTTTTGTAAAGGTTGCAGCCTAGGAACCCTCTGGGGCAGTTCTACTGTCACTATGATTTGGCAATGGGTTTGGATTTTTTTTGGTTGCTGCTAAATTTGGGAGTGGGGGGCAGAAGTGGGATGAGAAAGGAAGAATTATGGGTAAGAAGGATAATACTATGAGGAAGGTGAGGGTGATGCAGGAGGAGGCAGAGAGAAGATGATGCAGAAAGAGCTCACGGTGGCTGAAGATCTCAGAAAAAGCCCACTAAAACACAACTTTTAAAGGAAAGGGACACATCACCTCCTCGCGTAAATAAGCCTCCTGAAACTATCTGATGTGGAAAAACTTAGGCCCTTCAACAATGAATAATAAGTTTTAAAAAGGTAGCCACTAAAGAAATTATACAATGATATTTTTCTTGAAAAATAAGGAAAGTACAGGAAAAATAAATAGAATACAAAGCTTCCTCACCAGTTTCCATGGAGCAGAAGAAAACTGTAACCAAACATTTTGTAATTAATTTAAAAAAGGAAAACTGAATGAAACCATCAATCCGATGAAGCAATAGCATGAGGCAGAAACTCAAGAAAGAGACAGTGAGGCAATAGGGGAGAAGAAAGTGAGCTGTTCTAGAAAGAAGCAGAAATTAAGATTAAACTGGAGAACACTAGGGTAAAAAGATACTGTAGAAAACTAATTAAGTCCCATACCTACTCCCCAGTAATGGAGAGAAGGATAGAATTGAGAAAAGTGATCAAAATGAAACAGAAAAAAATTTGTTTTATACAGAAACATCTCCAAAATACACTGTTGAGAGAAAAAAGAAAATTGAATAGTACTATGTATAGTATGTTAACCACCACCATCTGTCAATTTGTCGTACTGTGGTGACTTGCATATTGCTGTAATACTGGAAGCTATGCCACTGGTATTTCAAATACCAGCAGGATCACCCATGGTGCACAGTTTTCAGCAGAGCTTCCAGACTAAGACAGACTAAGAAGAAGAAACTGGAAATCTACTTCTGAAAAAACTGGCTGGTGAAAACCTTATGAATAGCAGCAGCAGAAGAATATTGAATATGCCACGGACTGCCAGAAGAACAAACAAGTAGGTCTTGGAAGAAATACAGCCAGAGTGCCTCTTGGAATCCAGGATGGCAAGACTTTGTCTCATGTAGTTTGGACATGTTATCAGGAGGGCTCAGTCCCTGGAGAAGGACATCATGCTTGGTAAGGTAGAGAGTCGGTGAAAAAGACGAGATAGACTGACACAGTGGCTGCAACAATGAGCTCAAACATAGCAAGGACTGTGGATGGCACAGGACCGGACAGTGTTTCATTCTGTTGTAAATAGGGTTGCTATGAGTCAGAACTGACTTGACGGAACCTAACAACAACACAAAAAACTATGTTATCACCTATGTAAAAAATGGGGGAAATATATTTACTTGAATATACATAAAATATCTCTAAAAGACTTTAAAAATACATAGGAAATTGTGGTTGGGTGACAAAGGTGAGAAAGAATTTTCAACCACATGAATGTATTTTTTAAATGTAATGTATCAGGTATCCCTCATCTTGTCATAGCAGAAATCTGGCTTCTAGGAACTCATAATTTTAAAAAGACATGTACAATTTGAAGGTAAAACTAAGAATAAAACTTGATCACCTCCACACCTTAGTCATTTCTGTCTTCTGACCTGGGTCATCATGTACTTCACCTGCCGGAACAAAAATTGAGAATTAAAAGTAAATGAAATTCTTACTTCCATGAACAACTGCCTCCTTTGCCATGAGACCAGAAGAACCTAGATGGTGCCTGGTTACAATTAGTGAACATTTTGGTCAAAGATTCTATAGAAAAGTCTTGATAAAAAGGGAGAAAATGCAGAACATAACTTCAAATTCTCATGGACTCCAGACTTCCTGGAGCCGTGAAGGCTGGATGAACCCCTGCAACTATTGCTCTGAGATACTTTAATCTTTAAATCAAAAATATTCCCTGAATTCTTCTTAAAACCAAGCAATAGTTGAGCTTAACTAGTAAAAAAATGTCTGCCTTGAGCATTATGCTCTTTAAGAACTATCTATATAGGATCAAAGTGACAAAAGCAACTTGAAAGATTAGACAGGAATCTTGGGTAGCAGTGAGTTTATGTTAACGGGGAAGGAACAACTCAGAAAAGAAGGGTTAGAATGGTTGCACAACTTGAAGAATGTAATCAATGTCATTGAACTGTACATACAGAAATGGTTGAATTGGTGTAGTTTTGCTGGGTATATTCTCAACAACAACAAAATAAAAATAAAAGTAAATGAAACTGAAACTAGATTTAGACATTTAGTTTTAGGAATACACTTATTTATTAAAGTGTCAATACTAGATGACAATATGAATTCAAATGCAGACTTTTTAGAAGCATTTTCAAATGGTAACCCTAGATATGCCAATTAACCCAGAGAGATACTCAGATTTTGCCCAATATAGAACTAAAATGCAGTAGACATCAAAACAAAATAGGAAGCTCTCAACTGTATTTTTTCTATAAATTTTCTCACTATGTTGTTGCATTATCTATGACATTTTCAAAAGGAAAGGCAAATTTGTGTCTTCCACATTATTCCCACTGTTTTTTTTTTAATTTTTATTTTATTTTTTTCCCATACAAAAATTTATGTGTACATTGTTCTGTGACTCCAATTGCTCTCCTCATACTGTGACAGCACACTCCTCCTTTCCACCGCTGATTCCGAATGTCCATTCAACTAGCTCCTAACCCTCTCTGCCTTCCTATCTCACCTCTTGACAGAAGCTGCCCATTTAGTGTCTTGTATCTATTTGAGCTAAAGGCACACTTCTCAGGAGTATCACTTTATGTCCCACAGTCCAGTCTAATCCCCATCTGAAAAGTTGGCCTCAGAAATTGTTTTAGTTCTGGGCTGATAGATAATCCAGGGGCCATGCTTTCTGGGGTTCCTCCAGTCTCAGTCAGACCATTAAGTCTTGTCTTCTTACTAAAATTTGAGTTCTGCACCCACCATTCTCCTGCTACATCAGGGACTCTCTGTTGTGTTCCCTGTCAGGGCGGTCATCAGTGGTAGCCGGGCACCATCTAGTTCTTGTCTCAGGCTGATGAAGTTTCTGGTTTATGTGGCCCTTTCTGTCTCTTGGACTACTACTTTCCTTGTGTCTTTGGTGTTCTTCATTCTCCTTTACTCCAGATGGTTGGGACCAATTGATGCATTTTAGATGGCTGCTTGCAAGCTTTTAAGATCCCAGAT